TAAATTAGTTAATACTTCCTGTGTCAATTAAAAGTGAAAGTTTAAAATACTTATTTTTTTTTGTATCTTTGAGAGGTAATAGAATGTTGAAATTTGTTTTCTAATCTATCGGGTTATCTCCTCAGTACATCAATTAGGTTTGTCTCTTTTTCTTACTGGACTTGGTAAGACATGCAGCTTCTGGTGCTCTCAGGTGCAGGTATTGCTCTTATTACTTTCATATCAATGGGTTTCCCCATCACACAGCATTGCAATCAAAGATAGGTATTGCATCAAGCTGTTGCCACATCTGCTTTGAATGTGAGTTCCAAAATTGCATGTAACCGTTTCTGGCTAGGAATTCTTTTTGAAAGCCACATGATACCGAGATTGAAGGGCACTGCACCAAAGGCTTCTTTAGTTTTTATTGCTGAACAAATATTTCCATAAGTGTTTTGCAACTCCCATTTATGTCAGGATCACTTTCAGATTTGGTCTCAGTCCCTCCTATTTTATATATTGTTATGGGACATTTTTAAATTTTATTTTCTGTGATACCTCAGCCTGTCCAAATGCACATTGAAGAGTCTTTTATAGGAGTATCAGGTGTCATTTGTGCCTATTCTGCCTCCTTCTCCACACGGGATGCCTCCTTGTTGATCTATTTCTTCAAGCCACACTCCACAGAAGCAAGACAGTGTCATCAGAAGGGGCCAGAACTCTTTGGTGAAGAAACAGTGCAATGTGATAAATATTGGGAAAAAGAACCCCGTGGGCAATTATGAACACGGAGCCCTTTCACAAAGATAAATGGTGAAGTGAACAGTGACCCCCTCAGCTGTCAGCAGAGCAGCCGAGGGGGTCACTGGGGATGTGGATGACAGGGTTCTCTGTCAATTCACTGTGTTTACAAAAACAGATGTGGTCCCTCACTCTTCCTTAACACACGCTTTGTCTTCCACACCCGCCTCTGGACTGACCAGCTGACTCTCATTCTGAAATTCATTTTGCTTCTCAGGGACTTATTCCTTGGCTTATTAGTGTGCTTCACAGTTGTTAAATGCCCCTTTCTACATGTCCCAAGCAATATTTGAGGGTCTGGGAACCGCTTTGATTGGCCCAGTGTTTGGCTTTGTTGTTTTTCTACTGTCTTTTGCACTGAAATGAATAGCACATAATTTGACTATTACTGACATAAAAAATAAGTTTAAGACTGAATAGTATAACCAGATTTCTTTTATAGTCTGGCATACAGGCTCTTTTTTTTTTTTAAATTTTCAACTGCCCCTCATTTTCCGGTATTCTGAGCTCTCTGACCCAGCCACAGTGGGATTACAAGTGCATTTCCAGGGGAAAGCACAATAGAACTCTTCTTACAGCCCTTGTTTTCGCTGTGGTTTTGAGATCAAGGACACTGCCATATTACTAGAATAGTCTTAGCTCCTCATTGCTTTGTCATGCCAGCCTCAGTCATGCCAGCTTCCACTGATCTGCCTCTTTCTGTTTATACCACGTCATGCTCATGCAACACATTGTAGGCAAATGGAAATACAAAACAAAGAGTGTTCTCGACAGTAGAGTATCACAAACTTGGAATTCTCTGGCTACCTCTTCATACAGAGCACTGATACCTTGCAGTTTTGGATAAATTCTTCAGTCTCCTATGCCTAGGGTCCTCTTTGTTTCTTGCTCTGATATTTGTGCTCAGTCACACACTATCCATTGGCTTTGTAGCCCACTAGTTAATTTCATTACTTAGGCATCCACTAGTTTATTATTCTTACTATGTGTTGAGCATCATTCCAAGCAAGGAAAAGAACAGATAAGTAACTGGCTTCTCTCATGTGTAGAAGTGGAGGTAGAGGCATCAGCAAGCAAAATTAAAAACAACAACAACAACAAAACCAATGGAAATTAGGAAAACAATGACTTGTGGACGGATTTCTAAATCGTCTTATAAAATATAAAACATGGAGCCAAATATAGGGGTGAAAGTCTTAGAGATCAGGGAAATAGGAATAGCCACCAGCCAACCTTACCTCACCAGCTCTGCAGCTTCCAAATGTGAGCTACTTCCTGTCTTACCCTCACCTTTATTGCCTTGCTGTTCTGCCCTCTCATTGGCTATCTTGACTCAGCTACCTCACTTCATTGTCACACTGCCTGTCTGTACAGACCTCCAGGTCTCTATGGTTGGTACTGGGATTAAAGGTGTGTGTCACCACACTTGGCTCTCTTCCCTAGTATGGCCTTGAACACACAGAGACCCTGCCTGCCAAGTGATCGGATTAAGGACATGTGCTACTACTGCCTGACTTCTATGTTTACTTAAAATGGCTTGCTATTTCCTCTGATCTCCAGGAAAACTTTATTTATTAACATACAAATAGGATATCACCATATTTTAGCACAAATAAAATATCACCACAATGATGAAAGAAAAGTAAAGAAAGTGTGAAGGTAGAGTGATTATGGTCATCATGGCAAGCTTCTCAGAAGAGGGGGCATATGATTGGAGTCCTTCAGGAAGCAGGGAGCTGCTGTATAAAGTGAATAATTGTAGGTGGAGGTGGTAATGGATGTGACATTCTGAAAATGGTGGTTTTAATAGCAGACTGTGACCCAGCCTCATCAGGACGGTGTAGTACTGTGCTCCAAGGTGAGCACAACAGAGAGGTGAGTGTGCTAAACAGGAACTACATGGAAAATCTAGCCTTTTAGGTTTGGCTTTTTATGGGCAGACACAGCCTTAAACTGTGAAGCAAGAAGAGCTGCCATTTGTGCTGCGGTGTTCGCCCATCCTCTGACAATGTCCTGTCAAATGACCAAACACCAAGAGGTCTTGGGACTATGGCAACTCATTGGGTAGTCTCATCAGCTGACATTTTAAAAATGATTAATTAGTTTGTTTTACATACCAACTGTATTTTTGCTTCCTCCCCTCCTCTCATCCCCTCCCTCCAGCTCCCCTCTCCCCACCTGCAATCCACTCATCCTCTGTTTCTGTTCAGAAAAGGGCAGACCTCCCACGAGTATCAACAAAACATGGCATATCAAGTTGCAACGAGACTAAGCATCTCCCCTGTATTTAAGCTGGGCAAGGCAATCCAGTTTAAGCATCAAGGACAGTCCCTGCTCCCATTTTTAGGAGTCCAACAAGTAAACCAAGCTATACAACTGTCACATGAATGTAGAGGCTCCTTGGTTGTTGGTTCAGACTTTGTGAGTTCCTATGAGACCAGGTTAGTTGTTTCTGGGGGATTTCTTGTGATGTCCTTGACACCTCTGGCTCCTACAATCCTTCTTCCCTTTCTTCAGCAGGATTCCTCAAGCTTGGGCTAATGTTTGACTGTGGGTCACTGCATCTGTTTCCATCAGTTACTAGATGAAGACTCTCTAATAACAAGAGGGGTAGTCACTCATCTGATCGCAGGAGATGGCCAGTTCAGACTATGGATCCACTATTGTTAGGAGTCTTAGCTGGAGTCATCTGTATAGATTCGTGGGGGTTTCCCTTGTATCAGGTTTCTACGCGGCCCTGAAATGCCCCCTCCTTTCCATTCATCTCTTTCAGTTCTCTCCCCCTCCATCAGTCTCCTTACCCTACCCCTCTAGTTTCCATGCCCACCTGCCCTAGTTCACCCAGGAAATCTCTTCTATTTTCCCTTCCCAGAGAGATCCACGTGTTCCCCACTTGGGCCCTCCTTGTTACCTAGCCTCTTTGGGTCTGTGGATTGTCATATGGTTATCCTTTACTTTACAGTTAATATCCACTTATGAGTGACTACATACCATGTTTGTTTTTCTGGGTCTAAGTTACCTCACTCCAGATGATTTTTTTTTTTATTTTTTTTTTTAGTTCCATCAATATGCCTTTAGATTTCTGGATATCATTCTTTTTAACAGCTAAGTAATACTCCATTGTGTAAATGTACTACATTTTCTTTATCCATTCTTTGGTTGACTTTTAAAGTGAAATCTTAATTTCCCAAGCTTTATATATTGTAATTGCAAATAGGTGACAAAATAAAAAAAAGAAAGGTAAAAGACTTGGATGTTCACTAAATAAATGCTTTTATCCACACATCAGAAGCAGATGAAGCAAATAAAAGCACAGATCCACACAGTTAGAATGAAAATGACTTCCGATTTATGTCTGTCAGCAATATAGATATTTACAAATAACCCATATGAAAATGTAGAAAAGCACATTACATCTCCACACGCCATCCACATTAGCTGCACAAAGCTCAGTGACAGTATTTGCCAATTTGCAGTTACTTGTACATAGATATCTTGTGCATTAAAAAATAAGTATACATAATTTAAAATAAATTACATTACACAATTTACAAAGTAATATTAACAAAAGATTCACAGACAGTTGCCTCCTTACTCTAGCAAAATAAATATTCAGGTAGTTAAATTAACAAAAGTATACCCACTTAGAGCAATATAATTTAAAGAAAGATTGATTACAAATTTAATAAAATTATACTTTACAGTAATGGCTACTGATACCTTCAAAAATTCTGTGATAAAAAGGGACAGGAAAATGTACTAAAAGAGAGTCTAAATGTTTGCTTAAAAACAAAAACAAAAACAAAAACAAATTATCCAGGGAGCTTATTGAGGCCCCAAATTAGGTAATAAATAAATTATTACTTAAACAAAGAAAAGAAACCCAAACAACTACAAAACAGAACAATAAAACTTATAGCCAGTTATGTTCTAAGTAAAGTAGGTTTTGGCCCACTGACAAGGTGGCTTGCTTCAGATGTTTCCAGGTTTCTGGTCTGGCTTGACAGAACAGAATAAAAATGCAAATTTAAGCCGGGCGGTGGTGGCGCACGCCTTTAATCCCAGCACTCGGGAGGCAGAGCCAGGCGGATCTCTGTGAGTT